AGACGAGCACAACTGAGACAAAAACTACTAACTATATTCATGCATACAATTTCACAAGCACTTAAATTATTGAGAGCTAAACATAAAGCAGAAGAACCCTTATTGTGGAGTATATAAAAAAACGACGATCACTCAAATTGAACCTCCATATGTCTCACTCAGATCTTAAACCATACATGCAGTAGGAATCATACAGATAGGAAAAGAAACAATATGTAAGGATTTTATCAAAAGCAACTAAAACCTACAAATAATCGAACTCCCTAAAAGTTTTAGGGTTCTATTCTCACCTGAATACCATCTCATACAAACGAATTAAAGAAGACAAGTAGAGAGGAGGAGTGGTGGATTACCTGGTGGAGTCACGACTGGCGGAAACCTCCTCAGTCCTCACCAATGATGGGGAATGATGAAGAGCAAAGATTGGAGGAACCGCTGGTCACAGACAACCTCTTTTTCTCACGGGACAACAAGTTTGCGTGGACGAATTGGAGAGTGGGGGAGGCATGGAGCGTGGAGAGAAACATCGTTGGCATGGAGGACACTGCTAAGCTTCAAGGTTGCAGTTTGCGGACAAGTGGGGAAGAAACAAACTTAGGGATTTGATTTTGGAACAACTCTCACGAAGAACGCCTGATGACGAAGAGCGATGATGGTATGAAACGCTGGTCACAGGCGACCTCTTTTTCTCCCGCACCAGCAAGCTTGCAATGAGGAATTGGAGAGTGTGGGAGGCATGGAGCGTGGAGGGAGACGACGCCAGCAAGGAGGACATTGGTAATCTTCAAGGCTGCGGTGCGCGGAGAACAGGGGAAGAAGCAAACTTAGGGATTTAGGTTTGGAACTGAAATGGCCAAATGGGGAAGAACAATGGCGATTCAATTTTTTAACACTTCCTTCAACGAGAAACGACAACGTAGTGGCATTTACCCCAAGAATATTCGAATTTAGGTGAATAAAAATGCAACTAAAGATTCAGAATATTTTATCCAACCATTTTGGAAATGGTTGCTTAAAGTTGCATATCACCAACCATATTATAGATGGTTGCTGAAGAGTTGCGTATTATAAACCATTTACAAGGTCTGCACTCCTAATTAGTAAATACCCTGTTTAATATATGTTTATATGATTATATATATTTTATTGGTTTAAAATTTATGTACCCGTATTATTGGCAAGCTATTGTGTATTTTATAGTTATTAACGTACTATTAAACGTACCATTAATTTAGATATGAAGTAAAATACTCATACGTATTTTATTTTATATATAGCTTACCTGTGACATATTTTACTAAATATGTCGACAATCAACTAATTCATGATTTCTTAAGAATAGAGTACCACCAACCATTTTTTACAAGTTGTTGAAGTTGTAGTCTATCGACAATCATTTAACTGGTGGTTGCTTAAGGATATGGATCACCAACCATTTTATTAATGGTTGTTGAAGTTTGCGTCTATTGGCAACTCTTTCAGTCTTAGTTGCTTTAGGGTAAGAAATTTCCAACAATTTCACAAATGGTTGCCAAAGTTTTGGTTTATCGGCAACCATTTACCACATAGTTAGTTAAGTTATGGGTTTATCACCAACCAATTTACCAATGATTGCTGAAGTTTTCATCTATCGACAACTCTTTCATTCTTAGTTTCTTGAGGGTAGGGTATCTCCAACCATTTCGAAAATGGTTGCCGAAGTTTTGGTCTATCGGCAACCATTTACCCTATGGTTGGTTAAGTTATGGTGTATCACCAACCATTTAACTAACGGTTGCTGAAGTTTATGTCCATCAGCAACTCATTCTTTCTTAGTTGCTTAAGGGTAGGGTATCTCCAACCATTTCAAAAATGGTAGGCGAAGTTTTGCTTTATGGCGACCATTTATCACATGGTTGGTGAAGGGTAAGGTATCACCAACTATTTTGCAAATGGTTGTTGAAGTTTTGATGTATGGGCGACCATTTTACTACTGGTTGCGCTAGACTTGGGTATCAGCAACCATTATGCGAAAGGTTGGCAAAACATAGTTATAAGCAACTATTTTTTTATGGTCGCCAAAAAAATGGTAGCTGAAAACCTTTTTTCTTGTAGTACTTGGAATCTATTTAAGGAGGAGCGTTGGAGTCATTTTGGACCGACAAGATATGGAACTCTGGCTGAGCAATTAGTGCAGCTTCAACAAACAGACAGTATTCGTAAGTACAAGTTGGAGATCGAGGAACACATCAACCTTTGTTCCGGATGGACAGAGGAAAATCAAGTTGCCATCATTTTAGGTGGTGTTTTCAAGCCAGAAATTGCCGAGGCAATTTGAGTTCTTGGGCCCAAATCATTGGGCGAAACTTTTCACATTGCAATGCGCAAGGAAGAGGAGTTGGTCGGGCAGCTAGCTTGGATTCAAGTATCTAAGATGCCCCACCAGTGCACGAGGCAGGTAGAGCTGGACCTCGCCCTCCTCCAACCAGAGTTTACCACTTAACCTCGGACGAGGTGGATCGCAAGCGTCGGGATGACAAGTGTTGGTATTGTGATGCATGATGGACTATTCAACATCGTTGTTATAGGAGCCTCATGCTTATGGTTGCCGATGGCGAGTTGCTATAAGTGTTCACAGGTGTGGGCGCCGAAGCCGTTGAGCCTACTAGTTCGTTAGTTATAATCTCTGTTTTTACAAGCGGACCAAAGGCTGAACCGAAAAAGTTAGTGGTTTAGAGTTTAGTGGTTAACCGGTACAAAAACCGTTGATAAACCGTTGATAGAACCATCCATGATATATTACATACAAGACTTGTATATTACACTAATTTAAGAATGGAGTTATCATTGACCATAAACAATTTCAAATTCATATCATCACCAAAATATCTAATGAATCATTCAAACCATATCACAAAAGAAATTATAATATTTTTAATTCAAGTTAAAATTATGGTGCCAGTTGGTAGTGGACTACCTAAAAACGCCAACAAGGTTGGAAAATGAGAAGAGGAAACATATATAAAATTAATAATAAAGGCTTGATGATCTTAGTTTACGTTAAACTTATTTTTAAAAAATATTGTGGTTAAAATAGTGAACCAGTAGACCAGTTAAACCGTGGTGGTTCATCTGGTTTTATGTTGAACCATGAAAAACCGTTTGGTCCATTAATAACCGTTCAAGCACTGAACCGGACAGCTATCGTAACTGGTTTGGAGGTTCTATTGGCCCAGCCGTTGATCCGGTTCGGTTCTTATAACAATGGTTATAATTCATTTGGTCCAATCTTGAGAACACGGTTGTTTTCAGGGAGGGTGGATTGAATGATAGAACTCTTATTATTATTACAATTAATTATACCAATTACATATCGAATAGTATTAGGGTCATGAACTGTGGAGTATAAATTTTAAATAATCATTGTAGCTTTGTTATTTGGTTCATCGAGAAATAAACCTAAAGCATATTCTTGAGCAAATCTCTAATTCTCTCAATTCTACTTTCCTCAAACCCTAATTCTATTCTCAGTCTTTCGTAATTCTCTTCTCAAATCCCTAACTAATTCTCAGTCTTTCCTAATTACTCAGACAAGATCACGGGACGAAATTGAGGGGCAGCAGATAGGGTCAGTAACCAAGTGGTTACTAACAAGTCAGTAATGAATAGGGACCATAGATTTAAGAGGCAGGCAATCGTGTGGTTGGGCCGGACGCTGAGTAGGGAAGGGTATTTTTGTCCGTTTATACATTAAATTCTTTATTTTATTTTATTTCGTAATTAATGGCTGCACTTTCAAAGAAGGAAAGAGAAATCACTTCTCTGCAACTTTCTATCTTCCTTCTCTCTTTCTTTTTCTCTCCCAATTTCTTTTCTAGATCTTCTCTCTTTCTCTCTTCCTTTTTCTCTCTCAATCTCATTTCTAGATCTAAATCTGCTCCCTTCTCTTCTTCTTTATTTTTTTTTCATGACGAATAAAAATTGGATCCATTCTTTTTCATTGCATTTCTTCTCTTCATCATCTCGTTGGCCTCAATTTCGATCTTTCTCATTTTTTTCGGCATTTTGGTGTTCTTGATTGCGGAAGAGGAAATGAGAGGCGACACAAGACAATTTTTTTTCTCTAACTCCTTCTGTTTTTTTTTCTTTTAGATAATATATATTGATATTATAACTCTATACCATATGGTATTCGGTGGTAACGAAATATATATAAATATTACCACACTATACCATATGGTAATGTATGGTATTGTGTGGTAACAAATTATATATTGATATTACCACACTATACCATATGGTATTGTATGGTATTGTGTGATATTACCACACTATATCATATGATATTATGTGGTAACGAAATATATATTGATATTACCATACTATACCATATGGTATTGGGTGGTAACGAAATATATATTGATATTACCACACTATACCATATGGTATTGGGTGGTAACGAAATATATATTGATCTTATCACACTATATGATATGGTATTGGGTGGTAACGAAATATATATTGATATTACCACACTATACCATATGGTATTGGGTGGTAACGTAATATATATTGATGTGACAAATTTTTTCATACCATATGGTATGGTCAATACCATATGGTATAGACTGGTAATAACTGATAAAAACTTTTATGTCCAAAAAATATCAAAGTGGATATCATTTTGAAGAGCACAATTAATATGATCTAACTGTGCAAAAAAAAATTAAATTTGGACTTAAAACGAGTGAGAAATTGTCTGTTAAAGATTAAGAGAAGGAAAATTAAAAGTTTTTCAAGGAGAGAGAAGGCGCGATGTGATCCGGTCAAAAGTCAGCATTAGCAATAAATAGAGATATGAGCAATTTTACCTTATTGTCCTTTTGCATTTAATTTAAATAAAAAAAAGGACTGACACGTCGCGACAAGAGAAGAGATTACTGATGGGTTACTGACCCATCAGTTATTGACCTGATCTGGTCCCGGTCCCGAATTGAGGGAGGTTGTTGGTGGCAAGGTTCTGCTTCAATAAGTTGTTTCCATGGAATGTATAAAGCTTCACTCGAACAAATTAAACCAATCAAATACCATGATATTCCTTCCCAAAAGGGAAGACAGAAAGAAAGAATACGTTTCACAAAAACAAGATCATTAGACCCATTGCTGTTTCATTTGCTTCTACTATCCTTACAACTTCCTCTCAATCCAAAACACAAGACCTTAACCAACCTAGCTAGTAAGTCAGGTTCAGGATCTTACCCAACGGCTGATACGAATTGGCCGACTTGTTAGGAGCATAAGTACTAGTAGTTGTAGTAGGCAAGAAGCTGAACTTTCCAGACAAGGATTCCTCCCTTAGTGCAGCCAGCGCTGCCTTCCTCTTCTGCTTCCTTTCCCGCAGCTTCCTAAGCTCCTCCTCAACTTCCACTTTGGCCTTCTCCGCAACATCTGCCCTCGTCACTGCCTGCTCCGCCCTTGCTCTGAAGTCCCCGATCTTGGACAATGCACCTTCCAATTCTTTCTTCAGGTTCCCCAACTCAGTCCTGAACTCCACCGCTGACTGATCATAGTCCTTCCAGAAACTCTGATTCGCCGTTGAAGCTCTCTCTACCAATGCCTCATAATCAACCAATGAAATCATGACCTTCCCTCCTCCGCCTGCTCCTCCCCCTTCACAATTCACATCATGAGTACTATGGTTTCCTTGAGATGCTTCTTCCACAATGCCCTGAACATTGTGCGTTGTTGACCGTTTCACTGACCCAACACCCCCTTGCTTCTTGTTTCTAGCCTCAACCGCCTCGGCCACAACAGCCTTTGATCTTATCTTGATGAGCTCCGATTTCAGGAGTGTCATCTCGACTTGAGCATCTCCCACTTGCTTCAGCAGCTCCTCGGATCTCCCCTTGTCCGAGTTCGCCATAGATTCCATGGCCTTGGCCCTTGCAAGGGCCTTGTTCTTCTCATCCTTGAGCGTGGCGAGCTCGGCTTGGATCCTGAGCATCTCGCCCTGATTGTATTTCAGCTCGTGGAGGACGTTGGAGAGTTGCTCCCTTAATTTCGCCGCCTCAGCAACTTGATCCCCCAGCTCGCTGAGCCGGAGGGCGGCTTCGAGGTTCTGTTGGATGTGGAACTCTTTCTCGGACTCGGAGTCCTTCAACAGAGAAGTGAGTTGCTCTACTGTGCTCTGGTAGTGCTCGACCCTGCGAAGAAGCTGCAATTGTTCCGAATCTTTTGCCTCAAGTTGGAGCTTGCAGTTTGATAACTCTTTTGAGAGCCCATCCATGTCCTTTGCTTTCTCTACTGCCTGCTTAATTTATTTTTCCTCCCAAACCCAAGGAAAAGGAGTGAGCTTAATTTGTTAACCATATGCAGCATGCGTGAAACCAGAAGCATTAGTAAGATTCAAGCGTACCTGATCAAGGGTGGAGTGGGTACTGCTGTTCATACTCCAGGTGGGGGCGAATTTTTTCTGATTGTCCCCTTTCTCTTCGAAAAGGGTAAGAGCTACCTGAACGGATTTGATGGGTTTGGTGTCGATCTCGCCCATGGACGAGGACGACTGCATCTTTAACTGAAGAAAAAAGCGGAGGGTTCTTGTTTTCCCAGAAACAACAACGAAATCTTACTGCTACTGTGCGACTATTCAGTCAAATAAGAAGGAAGGGAAAGAGATGTACTAATGTCATCATGAGAAACAGCAGCAGCAAGAAGAGAGCACAGAAATGAACAGAACGTGCCTGCCTGAAAGACTACTTATGAAGCTTTTTGAATGCCGGAATGGAAAGAGCAGGGCTTAACTCTTCCCTTCCCTTCTGTGTGTTGCCTTCCCTCTATATTGGTGTTGCAGGCGGAGGCAGAGAGAGCAAGAATGGGGCGCAGAGTTGGGGACTCAGAAACTGGACTTGCGGACAAACCAATTCAAACAGCGAAACAAACACACTTTTACTACTCGTTTGGTTTCCTATGTTGGCATTTCCTACGTAGCAGTAGCTGTAGCTGCGTCGGCGATAGCAAGGCGCAAAGGAGACGAATATTCTATTTTCTAGCCAATAACGAGCTTTTGCCTTCTATCACTTTGTCACCCATTTTTTCTGCTGGACTATGTTTGGCTCGGGGTGCAAATAGAGGATGCAAATTTTGAGGTAAATGCATGCATTTATTCCCATTTGAAAAATTTGCAATAGTGGTAGCTAGGGAGCAAAGCTCAAGAAAGGAGAATTTATTATTCCTCTTAACCCTCCAATTTGGGGCGCAAGAAGATAGAGAAAAGAAGAAGTGAGTGTGTTAAATTAATGGTATAATTATTATAATGTGTATTATTATATTTAAATAATTATATTTTGAATAAAAATTATGTAAATAATGATTGTTCTTATTAACATGTAAGAAAGGCTAATTACTATTGAATCATAAATCATTATTTTTATAATTCTTTATTGTTATAGTTATTATTAATGTAAAATTTGTTCGTGGATCACAAGTTTGTCAAATTTGTTCCAATTGTTGAATGTGTTTGACCAAGTTTGACTCAAATATGCGTTGGAAAGTATAGAAAAGAAGTATCATGGAAAAAGTAGAACGAGAAAATGTTTGGTTGACTCGGGTCAATTTGGTTGACTAAATTTGCGTTGGAAAGTATACAGAAGAAGTGTCATGTAAATACTGAAGAAAATTGGACCGATGATATTTGGAGAGGACCAGATAGGACTGAATGTAATGGTGGTCGATCCTTGGTCGTAAGGTTCAGCTAGTCACATCGAGATCACCATGTCGACAAACCAACGCTCGAGTAGGAGATATGAGCTAGTTGCTAGTTAGTTATATGTTTTGGCCATCAGTTGGGTTTGAGCTTCGAGATTTCTCGATCAATGATTATTACAATAGATTATTATTTAAGCATAATTGTTTTAATAATTATTTTTATCAAATTATATTTGTTAATATTGATGATTATTATATACAATAGTTTTTATTTTTTATAATCTTGTATAAATTATATTTTATAATAATAATAATATAATTTCCTTATTTATCACTATATTTGCACCCCCTACTTTTTTTTATCAAAACAACAATTTACCCCTCCATTTACATACTTTACCAATTTGTACCCCCTACAATTTGTCCCTCAACTTGCACTCCCTTAAATTTGCACCACCCTTGTTGCCAAACACAGTGTTGATGCAATCACAATTCCGGTCGAGTATATATGCAGCATGTTCAAAAGGAAAGGAAAGGCAAACAATTTGCTTCGGCGGATATATAACTAGGCCTGTCAATTCGGTTTCGGGTTTTCGGTTTAACCCGAACCCGAACCGATATGCACAGTGTCGGTTTCGGTTTTTCGGGTTCAACCCGAAACACACTACATCGGTTTCGGTTTACCAAAACCCGCAAAACCGAAGAAACCCGCAAAACCCGATACAGTCACGCTGTCGTTTTGAACTTTTGAGAGCAACCCTACCCTTAGCCTTCACCTAGTGTCGTCGCCGCCGTTTCTTCGCTTTTGGCAAACCTAAACTAAACAGAGCGAGACGAAACAGAGACAGAGCCTCCTCGCCGGCATCATCGTCCTCGCCGCCAGCGGCCTCGTGAGGACCTCCGACTGCCATCAAATCCGTCGCCGGCCGCCACCATCAACGACGACGAAGAGCCAGAAGAGCCAGATCCACCCATCGACGACGAAGAGCCAGAAGCAGACGACAGGGTGCAGAAGTGGAGATTGGCGATTTCACGAGCAACTCCTCTAGGTTCGAAGCTTCTGCCTTTGGTCACATCCTAAATCACCGTACAAAACAGAGATGGAATCCCAGTAAGCTCCTTTTACCTTTCCTGAATTTTGATTTTGATTGGCATCCACTTGCTGTAGGGGTTCTGATTTCTTCTCTGCTTGCAGTCAGTCAGTCGTCGTTTCTGTTCTATGATTAATTTAGTTTCGAATTTAGCATCTGGGTTTTCGCCGTGTTTGTGCTTAGTTGTGATATTGAATGTGGATTGCTGTTGCTGTTGAGAGATGGAATGGCGTAACAGGGCAACAATGGCGAATTTAAGCTCCCACTTCCACATCTTTTCCACTGAACATAATCCCAACCCTTTTGCCTCTTCCCCTGCCTCCTCCGCCATTGCTAGAGACTGGTCTAAAACAGAGGGTTAATATTTGAAATGGGCTTGCTCTCGAAATTTGACCACTATTTTCACTTTCTTATTTGCTGGATTAGGGAGTTAGGCTTCCTGTTTGGCGAAGTGGGTTTTGATTTTGTGCAAGAAAGATCACAACTTTCGTTGTTTCTCTTTGGGGCCAATACTTTACTAGTTACTTTAATCCGCCATCATCAGCAGCTGGTATAGCTAATAGCTATTGCAAATTTGGGTGTTTCAGATTAGTCTTTCTATGTTGCTCTGTGTTCGTGTGATTGAACCTGATAGGCTGGGGAGGTGGATTGTTTGGCAATTGGGTTGGGATCCTGTGCTTGGATGGCGGTTTGGTTGGGGCACTCTACAGTTTAATGGGGCTCAGTAGGTTTAGATGTTGATCAACCATCTTCTTTTCCTCTGTAATTGAACAGTCCAATGGTTAATTCTTGTTGTTAGTAGATGATGGTGATCGAATCAGATTGTAGATCCCCTCCTGTAACTTTTTCTTTGAAGGTAGATCCATCTTGTAACTAGAACACGGTTGCTTCTCATGATGATGATTTGCTCCCCTGAATTCGTCTGTCCTCTATCTTTCAAGTGGATACATGCTGATGATGATCAAACTGTTCTTCTGGTGAGAGACTCTTTTCTGTTTCATCAATAGAGAGCTTCTTCCTAACCAGATTGGGAAACAGAGATTTGCAAATTTGGGTGTTTCAGATTAGTCTTTCTATGTTGCTCTGGCTCGTCTTGTGGGGTTTGTGGTATAGCTAATAGCTATTGCTTTATCTTGGTTTCAAGGAAATAGCTAATAACTAACTTGCACTAGTCGGAAGTGGAACTAGTTTGTTTGTGTGAATCTAAAAATTCAGATGAAAAAGCCTTAGTGTTGTAGGATGATTGATTTGGCTGGGAAATTGGGAAGTGTTTGTTGAAATTATGAGGGTAGTCTGTGTTTTTTCCTCTTTTATTGAAGCAATATCAGACTCCGAGTTGGTGGCTGATGGAGAAGATGAGGGTGATGAAGTGGTATTTCAAAATGGTAAAGACTTAATCTTTCTCTTTATTCTTATATTTGTTATCTTGATCAAGTCATATTCTAACAAGTTGTTATTGTTTATGTTATCCAGTATATGCAGCTTTTCAAGCTCGGAGTGCAAGTGCACCTGCAGGACCTAGTGGAAGCTCTCCTGCTACCCATGTTTTGGTCCCGAGTCCTACTATGTCACAAGTGGAAGAAGACTATGTCGACGACAATTCTGATGAGAATGATGAGACTTATGTAGATGTAGAGCCCGATGAGGAGTGATATGGTAGTAGTGTTTATCTTGTATGGTGGATGGATTTTTATTTTACTTGGATGTTATCATTTGAGAAATGTAAAACTAATGTGTTTAATTACGAGTTGAAGATAATCTCATCTATGATTGTCGGTATTTTATGTTGAACAAAATTATTTATAATTTTGCGCCAAACACCACATATTTTTTTGCATATGATAGTTGATATACCTTCAATTTTGGACCTATGGTATGACTAAAATATTTAATTATACGAAAATTCACAATTAAATAAGATATGATTAAGTTACGTATAAAATATATTTAAGTATTTTACTTTGTCTCTAAACTACTAATACTCTTTAATAGTTAATAGTATGTCTATAGTTATAGAATACATAAAATTAAATATTTTAATAATTAACTAATATTTTAATAATAAACTAATATGTAAATATTAGTTTTATATTGTCCACGTCCCATAAAATTAAACATAATCGTTAAATAAGAATGTGGTGCAAACCGACAGGCCCATAAAATTAAACTAATATGTAAATATTAGTTTTATATTGTCCCGAACCAAACCGACAGGCCTATATATAATTTGTCTGTTTTCTGTTTGTTTTTGGTTGTAAGTTCGCATCAGTGGTCAACAATTATTGATTTCTTTGTTTTGGAGTTGAGATGTGGTGCAAATCCATATCATTAAAGTCTAAAGAAGCGTAAAAGAATGAATTTTTAGACATTCTATAAATTTGAGAGAAATTTTATAACCATAGCTTTTATTTTTCAAAATATAAACAAATAAGTGAATTAGCTCATATATTAAAGATCAATCTCACACACATAAACTAAACTAATGGACTTTAAACAAGCATTCAAGGTTTTACTCCTGCTTTCAAGACAAAAATATGAGAAGAGTAACCATCGGCAAACGAAGAAGCTAAAATAAGGGTTGCAGCAAGCTTCACTAATAAGTGAAAGTGACGACAAATGGGAGGCTTAACGAGATGAGCTTCGACGACATCGTAGTCACAGGGGTGGGAGTTGTAGGGACGGGAAAAGATGCTGAAGGCAAAGAAAATATGAGAATGGATTAGAAGTGGCAATGAATTAGGGATGTGCAATTCTTAAAATTAAATATTGAAAGGATAGCCCGACTAAAAAAACATCATTTTTTTTCTTTTTTGGCTTGCAAAACTGAACCAAACCTACCCACAATGGTAGGGTCAGTAATTGTTTGCTCTAGTGCAGACCGCACCTGACCAAACTGACATAAAAACAGGACCAAATAGATCGAATGTGATGCGTTTCTGTCCATTGTCCTATGAATAATATAAATACTTAAAGAAAATAAGCCTTATTAATATTTGGACCGGATAAAGCTAAACCACACTAGCCAATCAGGCAATCACAATGTTGGTCCGGTCCTTGTTCCTAAATGTTTTTTCTTTTACTTTTGGACCACGGTTGTCAAGGTTTGGTCTAGTCATGTTTGAACATACCATTGCACAACCCTGCAATATTGTCCCGAATATTGAAAGACTAAAAATGCGATTTAAAAGCTAGCTTCTAAGTTTTC